TACAGTGACTGGTGGAGGCATTAGAAAGGAAGGTAGTAGGTGATTGGGACTCATCGCCTTAAATGCTACACTCATAGGTGTGTAGAAGAGTGTCTCCTGTGCCAGGCCTATGGACCAAATGTTGGAATGTGGGATTAGGCTAGGGGAATCATTTTTCAGATGGTGTAGACATGATGGGCCAAGTGGCCTCATTTTGTGAATTTTCTATGAATCTTTAATGAATGAGCTATTGACAAAGGGAATGCAACTATTGTGGATAAAGAGCAATGATTCAAAGGTGCTATTTGAAAGAAGAGGGTGTTAATTGTATATTTTCAAATTTACCCATTCAGAGATGATCTTACACACTTCGGAAGTGGATGGGGTTTGAACCCAGACCTCCTGTTCCAGAGGTAGGGACACTAACACTGCACCACTAGGGCCTAAAATTCTTGTAATAACTCCACAGAGACCAGTATCCCCTCACCAATTTATGGGTGCACAGTATGTGGACTCTGACCAGTCAGTTCATAGCCAGTCCATAGAGTGAGGAGATTCTCTACGACTCCTGTTTATATCATAGAATCCCTACAGTATGAAAACAGGCCCTTCGGCCCAACAACTCCACACTGACCCTCAGAGAATCCCACTCAGACCTTTCCCCTATAACCCACCTAAGCTACACATGCCTGAACACTAGGGCAATCCACCTAGCCTGCACATCTTTGGACTGTGGGAGGAAACCGGAGCACCCAGAGGAAACCCACGCAGACACGGAGAGAATGTGCAAACTCCACACAGACAGTCACCCGAGGCTGGAATCGAACCCGGGTTCTTGGTGCTGTGAGGCAGCAGTGTTAACCACTGAGCCACCATGCAACTCTATCTGTTGAGCCAGGGCTCCCTGATTGGCTCAGGTTAACAGCCCCAATCAGGGAACTCATACTCTACAAGATCCACCTGTCCAACCTCATTCCAATCACGACAATCCCTAAATTGTGTAGATATTTTTAATCAACTTGTTCAAACATGTTATTACACACCTCTGGAGCAAATTGGACTTGAACCCAGGCCTCTGGCTCAGAGGTTGGGACACTACCACTGTATCACATGGGGTCCAACATGTCCAAATTGCATCTTCATTGGGTGTTAATTATTTTCAGGAAGTGAACGTTAAGCTGGGATTTACCTCTGTTGAGAATAGATTGAGAGGTCAGCAGTGCTTGATGTGTAATGAGTGTCTCTTTCAAACTGAAGCGTGTAAAGGTTCCAGCTTTCACCTGACTCTCAAGAGTTTGTAAGAGGTGGTAGAATCCGATGTTTAACCAGGAGATGTGGGAGAGATACAGTGAGTTTGCAGGCATTAAGGCAGGCAGGATAACTGATCTGGTAATTTCACTCTGTTGTGCAGTTCAGTGTGAATGGATATGATAGTAAGGTGGTGATCTTTATCATAATGTAACTGTTATATCAGTAATTGTGTTTAAGAGACTGTCGGAAAAGGATGGAATAGTCTGAGGTTACGTACCTTGGCAGGAAGAATAGAGGAGCCAAATATTGTTTAAATGGAGAAGGACTGCAGGGAGCTACAGAACAGAGGGATTTGGGAGTCCTGGTGCATGAATTCCAAAAAGCTAGCATCCATGTTTAGCGGGTAATAGGGAAGGCAAGTAGAATGTTGACCTTTATTACAAACGGAATGAAGTATAAAGTTTGGGCAGATTTTGCTAAAACTGTACGAGGTACTAGTCAGACCACAGCTGGAATACTGTGAACAGTTCCTGGCCCTTTTGTGAAGGAAAGGTATAATAACATTAGAGGCAATCCAGAGAAGGTTCACAAGGCAGATACTGGGTATGGAGGGACTGTCTTATGAGAAAAGGTTGGCTGGTTTGGGACATGACAGGGTAGATGTGGAGAGGCTATTTCCCTTTGTGGGAGTGTCTAGGACCAGAGAGTAACAAGGGGTGGCACGGTGGCTCGGTGGTTAGCACTGCTGCCTCACAGCGCCAGGGACCTAGGTTCAATTCCAGCCTCGGGTGGCTGTCTGTGTGGAGTTTGCACATTCTCCCCATGTCTGTGCGGGTTTGCTCCAGTTTCCTCCCACAGTCCAAAAATGTGCAGGCTAGGTGGATTGGCCATGCTAAATTGCCCATAGTATTCAGGGGTGTGTGTGGGTTATAACAGGATGGGTCTGGGTGGAATGCTCCAAGGGTTGGTGTGGACTTGTTGGACCAAAGGGCCTGTTTCCACACTGTAGGGATTCTATGATTCTAACTCACAGTAAGGGGTGGGACAAAGATGAAGCAAAATTCTTCTCTCTGAGGGTGGTGAATCTGTGGAATTCTTGAATGCAAAGGACTGTTGAGACTGGGCCATTCAAGGCTGAGATAGAGTTTTAATCAGTAAGGGGAATCAAGGGTTATGGGGCAAAGGCAGGAAAGTTGAGTTGAGGATTATCAGATCAGCCTCGATGGGCTGAATGGTCTATTTCTGCAGCTACATCTTATAGTTTTATGGTACTTGATCAAAGGACTTCAGAAAGTTGAATAAACCTAATTTCTCTTTCACAAAACCATGTTGACTCTGGCTGATTACCTTGAATGTCTTGAAGGCCCCTGTCATAAAGTCTTTTATATTAGCTTCTGACATTGAACAAGGTGGTCATCTCTTCAATATGCAGAATAGAAAGCTGAGCCACAAACCTCAAGGCAACACAAACTATCCCGTATGGCGTTGTTCTGACAAGACATCGCCACCAAAGCATATCCTCTGTTTTCTGATGTAGCAAGAACTGCCGATGCTGGAGTCAGAAATAACAAAGTGTGGAGCTGGAGGAACACAGCTGCCTGGCCTGCTGTGCTGTGTTCCTCCAGCTCCACACTTTGTTATCTCTGTTTCCTGATGCTGACTGACCTGGGCATCTGCAGCATTCACCATCTCTCCCATTTCATAATACTGAGCTAATTCTATGCTCAGACTCTTCTTGAGGAAGGTTTATTTCAAAGAGAACCCTTTGCCATTATTTGAGGACGGTGTTGTTCCCTCTGTTGGTCTGGCTGATTGTTATCACAAAACATATCACTGAAGCTGATTAGCTTGTTGCCTTATGTGGAATCTGTTTTTCATTTGTGTGTGCGTGTGCGTGTGCGTGTGTATGTGTGTGTGTATGTTGTGCGTGCATGTGCATGTGTGTGTGTGTGTGCATGTGCATGTGTGTGTGTGTGTGAATGTGTGTGTGTGTGTGTGTGTGTGTGTGTG